CATAATAATATTGGAAATACCCCATCAAATAGGATGGTAGAAGAAAACATGGGAGAAAGAAAAATATGTGTAAAATTGGTGAAAAGGAAAAGAGGCAAATGGAAATGATAACTCCAAATTCAAATTTGAATTTGAATGCAAGAGAACAAATTGAAGAGAAAATCAGTATTAATGAGGAGCAAATAGAGGCTCTTCAGGGTGATGACAAGCACTGGGAAAATGATCAGGCTAGACCCCACCTCGTTAGAGTGGGGAGTCAATCTAGTGAAAAGATGATGAATGAAAGTGAGAATCAAAAGACTGCTGAGAATTGGACTAATGAGGAGATAATCAAAGTGCAACCATCAGGGAGTCCGGCAAAGCTAAGAGATTTGGTTTGCTGAATTATGAATTAATAGTGAACTTGACCCGCATCAGGAAGGAAGTGATGTTTAACCACCAAAGGAGTGAAGGTGGTAGGCGAAGATTAAAAAAATGAATAGTGATTGGGAAAGAAGTAATAAATGGAAACAGGAAGAGAATTACCACCGGAGAGACCCAATTAAAATGGGCAGACTTAAGAGACTAAGATCTGAAGCAGATAGGCCAAATTTGAGCTTAGGAAAATGAAATGTAATCATGACCTGCATAGAGATGGATAGGGGAATATATATGATGAAGAAATAAATACAGTGGTGGCATATCAGTCTGAGCTTGTCAAAGAGTTTGAATGATTGACCATATGTAATGAAGTGGAGCAGACCAGTAGCATCAGCAACCTCGAACCTAAAAAAGATAATTATAGCATACTAGAGGTAAACTTGCCATTTAAGAAGCAAACTAAATTTACAGAAGTCTTGAACATTGAATGCATTAATGAGGGAACCCGACAGACTTGAATTAAAATTCGAGTAACTGAGTTTATAAAGCCTTGGTATGTTGGAACTAATCCAATGCATAGTGTTCAAGTATGAGATTGTTTTGACAGAACTCGTTGGTATGTCATTGGAAAATACCTCGTCCAGATGAAATGGACTTTTCAGGGTTCAACCCTATAAATGTTAAACTCATGAGAGCTGATCCTTGGACTAGGATACCAGGACTCCCTTTAGAAACTGGGAAGAACAATGTTTGCAAATCATTCTAACTGACGTTGGTCCCCTATTGAAGATGGATGAAAATACAGAATACCAGTCTAGAATGTTTTTGACTTTTTTCCTAGTATTTGTGTTAGTGTTGACCTCACCAGCTCCATCTTGGAAATCCCTCTTACTATAGGAGGGAGACGACTTGTCTACAACATGCTATATGAAAACAATAGGGATTTGATTCCAACAGTTCCAGTCCCGTTCAAGCTCAGATGGCTAGTTATGTAGCTGGATCTTTTTTGCACATGTGTTAGCTAGTTGGGCTTGTCAGAAGATGTATATATCAAATTGAGATTGTGTAAATGTAAAGTTTAATAGGTTATTAGCTATGGGATGGGTTTCTGTGTTTTTTGTGGGCTAACCCCATGTTCTATGTGATTTTGTAAAACTTACTTTTTATTTTGGTTTCATGACATACATAGTTGCATATCAAAAGAAGGGTAAAAGAAAATTTACAAATTTTTCTTCATGAAAACACCTATCATATGGTGTCTGCAATGAACTCTTAATATGTTTATGGGCAATATCATCTACATTCCATTTCCTTTAGGCTGTATTTGGTTGCAATGCAAACAAATTTGTACTGATGCAAAACTATGGCAGTGCAAATGATTTGAGTGTAAATTCTGATCTATTTTTCTTTCAAATTCTAGCTTATTTTGTTTGATTGCAGTAAAAATGAAGTAAGTTAAGGCATGAAGCAGAATAAAGTAAAACCGAAAACAAAGTTAAACCAGAATTTGCATTTTTTTCATTTGTACTAGTGCAAATAAAATTGCGCTGCAACCAAACACAGCCTTAATTACATTAATTGTGGTTTCAATTCATTTGAATTGCTTTAATGTAGGTAAAACATACTTTCTTTTTGTTAAAAAGTGCACTTGAAAATGTACTTTTAACCATCATTTGATATGAAGACACCTATGTACTACTGGAATGTAGTATTACAACTTAACCTCTTACATTGTTTTTGGATGGTGATGGTTTGTGCAGATGACTTATTTTTTTACATGGCATACATCTCTTTGAGGAAATTTGAATATGGGGAATGCAAGTTTCTTGTGGAATGCTATGACGAAATCCATAACAGGTGGGCTGATAGCTCTCACCATTTCAGATAGATATGCAAGTATTGTTTCTGTTCATGGCCTATCCATGTATCCTACATTCAATTCAAGCACCAATACATTTTTGGGATCCTTATCAGGTAACTTCCTTTATTGCTTGTTTGGTTTCCCAAGTTAGTAGCAGGTAGATTTTAACTTGAAGAAAACTTTGACAGAGGACTATGCCTCAATGATTTGTCGGTTCATTGATTAATGATTTGGGTGCAGATGACTATGTTTTAGTGGAGAAGTTTTGCCTTGCAAATTACAAATTTACAGATGGAGATGTGATAGTATTTCGGTAAATATACTTCTTAATACCATATGCATAGTTTTTCTTCTAAATTGAGCACTTCTATTAGAATGTGAAGAAGATATAACACATTTTGGTGTTGCTATGGCTGTGTGCCCTGGTATTTACCTGCTTTGTTTCCTCTTGTTAGTCAGATTGGTCAAATTGAAATGGCTGTATAAGCCTCAGTCTGTTTTCCATCTTCTATCTCTATACTAGTAAATTCTTTTTTCTTTAAACAAATTCTCCTTTGTTATCAACCAATAAGTAAATACATGACACAAAGAAACATACACAATGCATCTATTTATATATGAGTAAATGCATCTATTTATATATGAGTGCTCTCTGTATTTTTATTACACGTGTATTCATTTCAATGAATCAAAACCAATTGAATGTTAGGCCACCACTCCCTGTATTTTTACTGCACTTGTTAGTCAGATTGGTCAAATTGGAATGGCTGTATAAGGCTATAAGCCTTGGTCTATTTTCCATCTTCTATCTCTATACTAGTAAATTCTTTTTTCTTTTTTTTTGATAATCTAGTAAATTCTTTTCTGCACTTGTTATCAACCAATAAGTAAATACATGACACAAAGAAACATAATGTATGCACATAACTATAGGTATTCAAGCCTATAACCCTGACCAAATGCATCTATTTATATATGAGTACTCTCTGTATTTTTACTGCACTTGTGTATTCATGTCAATGAATCCAATCCAATTGAATGTTATGGCACCTCTCTGGACTGATATTCACACTGTTTAAATGAGCCTGAATTATCAATGTTGTGATTTGCTATCACATTATTTGGAGAATCCTTAACTTTACAAGTTATATATCAGTTCAGATACTTTATGTAGACTTGATATTAGTGCCTCAGCCTTGCTATGTCTTGGAAAATTGAACTTCAGGTTGTATTCATTTCTAGAGAAGATCTAGTAGTTGAAGGATGCAGATTGATGACCATATGCTCAACATTTGTTTTCAATCCAAGAAATATAGGCTACCTTTGTCGAGCTGTTGAATGTTAAATTTGATTGGTGCTAAACTCCATAATTTTCAGGTCCCCCAATAATCACAAGGAGAAACACATAAAGAGAATAATTGCCATGCCAGGTGACTGGATCAAAGTCCCTCATTCATATGATATGTTGAAGATTCCAG